ATTAAAGGAATTTCACAGCGCATAGTTTTTAACAATGTATGATGCGAAAGGGAAGCCAAAGAAAAACAAAAGGAAAGGAAATAAATCGATGGTGAAAAATACGAAACGACCGCAAACCTTGAACTCTGAATCTCAAAGATCCATTTTGAAGTAGTCACGTTCGAATCCACATACCCAGTGACAGTTTGCCCCTAAAAAAGAAACTATCCGACACATGACAAACAAACACTATAATTGAATAGATATCCATACAATTCCGTTAAAAGTTTGCATCCATGGAAAGTGAAACCGAATTTCATCTTAGGGAAATTTTGGTTTTCGGTTCTATGAAGTAATACTCACCTACTGAAATGAACGAAAGATCGAAACATGGTTAAGATTGCAGCAAGATATCTCACGGGACGGACTTTTCAGGCCGTTCAGGGCAAGAGGGTAGGGTATTCAACTTCAGAGGATTCCGTACAGTGGCTTTCAGATCCACAGAGCTTCTTGGTTCCTTCAGGGAAGGTCATTCATCAAAATCAAAATTAAAAAGATACCAAGTCTTATTGGGTGAAAGGTGGTCTTATTGGCTGAAAGGTCCTCATCCAGATAACATTTATTTTTCTTAGCTGAGAAAATTAAAATGAATAGTTTTTGCCCCTAAACTCCTTCATAACAGGGTAGCCAAAAGTACAGTAACACAGGGCTGCAGTGCTACCTATAGCTTAGTTCCCTGTCTCATAAGTGACCTTCAGGAGCCTTTTTTCTGAATGCTATGTCAATCCTTCTCAGGCTGATTAAGCTCAGTTCGAATTTCGTCTTACAACATAGCAGAAACCGCTATTCTGCTGGCTTCCATTTCGTTATTTGGCAAGACTGAAAAAACAAAGCGAGAAGAAGCACACACGGAGGTGTTCCATTTTATCGCACATACCCTCTAATTATATAGATAGTAATTGATTTTGTTCTCTGTGACCTACGATTATGCGGAGGTCACGATAGAGGAACTCATCTGAGATTTTGAGAAAGCTAATTGCAACTGGAAAACTGCCAAAAAGACACTATTGCTGAGAGCGCTACCTTAATGCATTTGGTACTGATTATAGCAAGTGATAAAACCCTTAGAATGAGAGTTTTGCCACATAGTCTTGTCGGTGAGGATCAACTCAGTGCCATGGTTGTTTACAAGTTGTCTAACATCGAAATGGATTTGATCCCAAATTTGGTAGGTAATGCTAAAGAGGATGCTTGGGTTAGTATTTGTAAAACACTAGACTGATCCAAGAGTCAGGAAATGTAATTGTAAGCTCGTGAACATGGCGTAAAAAAACTTGGCGATAGTGTCAATAAAGGATGCCATGATTGTGATTAAATCTGGCATAATACCTAAGTTTTAAAGTTTGTGGGTGGATGGATGAAGTCCTGAAAGTGATTTTCACCTTTCAGTGCAGTATGCTTTCGTTTTCCCACGAACTCCTCTTTTTCCGCACCAATTTATGGACCAAAGATCAAACAAGAAGAGAAATTCATTTCGGGTCCAAAATCCCGCGGTTATTTCTACGCACCACTGAAAGTAATAAAAGTAACGAATAGTCGAAATAGTCACGCCCTAATTCTATAACTCTGTAAATATTTACGGCCAGAATTACGGTAGGTATTTGCACTTTGCATTTTTTGTCTTGGTTACCACATTCACCACAATCCATACTAGCTTCCCTTTACCGTACAGAGCTCTAGAACTACAAATTTCATCAGATCAGTAGAACTTATTTTTGTAGTTTCGATGAGAAAATCATTTTATCGCTATTTAAGTATTCGCCTTGGTTATTTTTGTATACAGAAGTGTTTTGTTTGTTTATTTTGAAGAGCGTTTCAATTTTTTTACCGATCTCTTGTATCTTATCAAAGTACATCAAATCCACTGATTTGATAGGGGCTCTCCAAGAAAGGTTCATTTATTAGTGTAATGTTCACGAACTGTGTACTTTTAATAGNTTTTTGTAGGACGTCAGACGTCGACGTACCTCAGACCATCAGATGCCATTCTTTCATGGGGCGGTAGTGAGTGCTGGTCTCAAGTATCGATTTATTATTGCCGTACTACTTGTATATATCCTCTATTCTCAATGGCGACATAATAATGATCTCTTTTTAATTATAGAAAAAGCAGGTAAGCTTCCAGTCAGGTTTTTCGTTTTTTTTTATTGATGTTTACGTTTCCTACTTTGATGTTTTCTCTCCGTGATGCCCCTACTATACCAAGTGCCTGGGTACAGCCAGGCATTGGCAAGTAGTAAAGCAAAATTTCTATTTGTCATTTTCTTCACTACCAAGTTAGGTAGGATTACCGGTTATTATTTGTTAAGATCGGAACCCTGACAAACATATTAGACTGCTTGTTCGGTGAGTTCACTGCCTAGGCGCTCTCACGGCTGATTCACTGATCTCTAGTAATCCCCAAACGTGGTTTATCGACTGATTTGGGAGGGAATACCATACGATCGATACAACTTTGAGTTCAGAGCGCGGTGATGTTTTTCTAACATCCAAGGACAATAATGGAAGTAGCAAGTGAAAATGGGGTCGGGGTCGATGTGGTAAGTAGTGGTCGTCCTTCAAAAGATTCTGAAAAATGAGAATGACTGGAACAACCGGCAGTGGTCTGATTTATCGACAATTTTGGGACGGGTTGAAGACTTTGGTTTTACCATGAACCAGGATTCATCAGGGAGTCGCCTCAAACGGTGAACAGGACAGTATAGCTTGAATGTACTCAAATAGATCAAAGAAGCCATGAAATCTGTTACGACCTTTTCAATTAAATTGATTCTCTAAGGCAAGAGTTGATTGTCGTCAGTTGATTTTAGTGCACTATTCAGGGAATGATTTGTCTTTGTGTCAAAACTATGCCGAAAGTTTGGTTGCAAAATTGCGAGGTAATTTTTTCTCTTTCATTATGAAGGTTTTCTTTTTAAAATGGGGCAGCTCAACCGAGCTGAAACTTCCCTTTTGTTCATTTATCTTAACATTCTTTTTATTTACAGTTATCTATGATCACAAGATGAAAATGGAGAAGATTTTCAATTCAAAACGGGTATCTTCACAAGGAAAACGTAAAGGTACGGCAATTTTTTACTTTTAAGTTTTTTCACCACTTCATCGTAAAAAATTTCGATTAATTTTCCTTTTTCTCGAATCATTTCTTTTTCTTAGGCCCTGACAGGAGATTTACTCAACAAGTCCCTTTTTATACTATAAAAAGTGTGATCTGTAATTTTGTGATTTTACTTATTGTGTTTAGTCTTTGAACATTTGTGGCATCTATGCGAAGAGAACCTGACATCTATCACGGTGAGCAAATTTTTATAGTGAAGCTGCCCAAAACGTTTTGTTTTCCCCTAGGGACGATTTATACCAGTCTGAAGCCAGTGCAAAATAAAGATGCACCATGTTTTCACCTTATTGCGGAGGGATTGCAGTTTTACAACTTATTTTTCGTTCATTGCAGTTGGAACTCGATGAGTGCCGTAGTGGTAAACGCGACCAGATTCCCCACCCGGATTTGTCTGGAGCCGTACTACTCAACCGACTTCAAGGTAAATTCGGTGCTTTATTCATGCTTAAAATTTTTGTATCAAAAATGAGAATAGATTCAGTCCAGGTTAACAAAGGGTGGAAAGAAATGTGCAAAAGACCTATTGAACTTCACCGCTAGCACTTATGATTACGCTAATTCCAATGGAACAACGCTCACGGATTAGATCAGGCCTTTGTTGTAGGGTTTCGTTGCATACAGCTTAATTGTACTTGTAGGAATTAATGGTGATTCCAAACTCGATAGTGCGTTAGCGGTCTCCACTCTTTTTGCCCATTGAGAAGGTGACTTTGCCCAATGGATGTCTCGCCCAGTCGATAAGTCGCCCATTCCATTCCCCACTTCCCTCCCTACATCACTAACATAAGTCAACTTTACGCTCAAGTAACTACCAGACCTTTACCTCTGTAAAGCAAATCAGAAGCAAAGTGTTGCACAATTTGCAAGCAAAATTAGGAAGAAAATCAACCTATCGAGAAGAAACGTAGGAAATTATCGCTATTGTGATTTCGGGATTTATTCGTAGTT